TGTGTGTGTGTGTGTGTGTGTGTGTGTGTGTGTGTGTGTGTGTGTGTTGAGCATTGTTCCTGGTGGTGGTCCTTATTTTATCTGAACTAGTTTATCTGACCTGTTGTTATTACCATTGTGTGAATGTTTTATATACACATATATCTGGTTTCAAATGAAAACTTGAACCCCACATGACAACAATTGCTCCTGTGGATTTCCAGCTTAACCAAAATCAGGTGACTTTCAAGAGAGAGACCGTGCTTGTGGAACTTTGCCACCTGATGGTCAGAACAGCAGAGAGGTTTGGAGTGGCTTTCAGAGAAACATCCAAAAGTTATCAGGATTAACCTGGACCTTCGAACCTCTCCCATCACAAGTAATAACTTTCTTCTTGTTGTATCTTAAGGCTGGATAGTATTGTTAACTGCCCTCAGCTTCAATATTCAGCCCTTAATTCTTATTCCCAGAGCCTTATCAGATACCACTGCATACACAAGGAGGCGTGGCTAATACTTAAATATATTGCTTGTTCTGACGGCATTTAAGAGATTCAGAAATTTAATTTTGTGATGGCAAAATCCAGGAAGAGAGGGAAACATTAATCAAATGGGTGTAATCTCCAAGGAAACAAATACTTCATTTTAATTCAGCATTTCCCTTTGATGAAAACTTTAGTGAATGTTATTATGTAGAATTTATATGAAGCCTGGGTTTAGGTAATCAGCTTTAATATTTATACTCTTAGGGAAAAAATGGAATCATTAGTAAGCATGCATAATTAATGAATAAATTATATTTTTCCTTTGTTTTCCTTCAGGTATAAGGAAATGCTAGATCTAGTGATATCACCCAGCCTGACAGTAAATAGAGAGTGCCACGATAGACTGAAGCTTAACCTTTCTAACATTTATGCCACGGCTCCAGATGACATAGAAGGTAGGCTGCCTCTTCTGCTTATGGTTTATTAACTTTAGACTGTTAGCATCAGGGGTATATATAAGAACAAAAGGAACTGACCAGGTATGAGGCCGGTGCTTGTAAGAATTAGTCCTTTGATGCAAGAAGCAGTTAAAATTTCTATTTGATGTTTTTGTAACAAGTCCGGTTGTGTTTGGATCTGATTTGAATGCAATTAGAAATGGAATTATAGAGATACATGCACATCAGAATAACATGTGTATAAAAGTGTATTTTAATCAACGCTGGCTGTTTTATTTTTGGCCCCCACCAATCCATCAACCCCTAAGGGCAGCATTAATTTGAACTCCGAGTTCTAGTCGTATTGTTGCTGTTTGGAAGAGAGAAGGGGTGAAAGCACAGAGGCTGCCATTCCTAATCACCCAGAATGCAAATATGAAACATTTTACCAAAGCAGTTGCTGTGCCACGGTTCATGTCGAGCTGAGATCATTGCTGTCATTTCTGAACAGTTAGTCCCCAGATCTGTGGTCTGGAGTTTCATATTTGGCAGGTACCAAGGACAAATTCTTTCAGTGGTTGAGGCTATGATGGAAACTTATCTGCTCTCCTCCTCCTTCCCCTCTCCCTCCCCCCGGCCATCTACCCCATTATACTGTTCAAGTGAAGGAAACAGAAGAATGTTAAATCTGTTTTAAAAATTATTGGCAAATGATGCAGCCAAACTAGTTCTCGCCAGTACAATTCCAGCTATTGTTTGCTGTGGTCAGGATCCCTCAGCCTTCCTGTTGGAGCAGAGTTAGCAAAAGGCACTGACTATTATGTTTAACTCTCGTGTTTAACCCTTTATTTGCAGGGTGTTAGAAGCCACTGTATGTTGGCTGTGTATTTTAGAAGCCACATGTTGTATCTGGGTTTATTGAGCCTTTAGGAATTAAGTTGGATTGAAGCATGTAAAGCATGACCACCAATTCAAAAGGTTTGCTGGAAGGATCAGAATCTATAGGAAATAGGGGAAAGAGGATCTGGGCTATAGAAAAAGTAAGAATTTATTTTCAGAATATAAAATCTAATTGTACTAAAAACTTTCTTGCAGGTAAGTCCAAGCAAATTGCTCATAGTGAAATCGTTGTTGAATCAGGTAAGCCTGACTTTTTTAAAGAGAATCTTTCTCCTATATCTCCTTATCACTAATACATCTTTTTATTGTCTAAATATTTTACAAACATGAAATAATCCTTACAGTCACACCCCAATGTGGTAGGTAAATATCCTCATATTACAGATGGAGAAACTGAGGCAGAGAGGTTAGGGCTGAGATGTTCAAAAAAGCCTCAGGGATTTAGGTGCTCAACTCCAAGGGGGATGTCAGATTCCTTTATGTTGCTGTGAGAATCCCACCTTAACCTAAACAATTTGTCCTAGGCCATTGGAGGAGTTATTACTGTTACTTTGTTTCCATCGGTACCCCCCATGCAGTATGTGCTGAACAAACAGATAATGGGCTAGACCCTGCCCGGAAAACATCACATTCTAAAATATGAAAGGTACAGGCAGACTAATGAAGGGTAGGACAAAAAGGGAACGAAGTATAAAGTAGTTAAGGATGCATCACTAAATACAATGTCAGGTAGCCCAATGGTTTTCCTTTTTAAAAGGGATAGGACCTGATTCGACAGTTACCTTGCCATTATCAGCTGACAAGTTTCTCCTAGACATCATGGTAGAACTGGTCCTTTAGGGTGGATTTGGATGTGGAGAGGGTACTGATCTGTGGGTTACCGGAGGAAGAGCTTTCTATGTGTAACCGATAGCCTGGAAGAAGATATGCAGATGGTTGTGGGGGCCGTGAACTAACAGAGGGGTGAAATCCTGGCCCCATTGAAGTGAATGGGAGTTTTGCCATTGACTTCAATGGAATCAGGATTTCACTCACTGTGTCAAGGGTGACATAACTGGCAGAGGGAAGAGGGTTAGGGGAGGTGTGGAGGATGGTAGGGAGGAGTAGAATCCGGAAGGGCTCTGAAGGGAAGGACAAGAAGCTGAATTAGATGCAGAAGAGGTTGGGGAGAAAGTGGCACATAGTGGAGTAGGGATTCAAAGAGGGAGGTGATACAGTCCGAGCAATTATCAAGGATTATGATCTCAGGAACTATGTTTGTTATGTCCTGGATAGTGGAGAGGGCAGGTGATGTGTCAGGGAAACCAGAAAGAAAGAGGTTACAGTAATCAAACTGGGGGGTTGAAAGGCATAGAAAAAAAAAAGATGTCTCATAGACATTGTGTGGGAAGGAAGTGGGAGAATCTGGGCATGTCTTCAATGTGTGGGGCAAGAGAGAAAGAGCAGTCAAAGATGACTTCCAGGTTTCAGGCCTGAATGATAGGGTGTTGTGACAGCAAATGAGAAGAATAGGTGCCTTAGCATCTCTGGAAAGAGGCAGCTTTTCTTTAGATGCCTAAATATGGCAATAAGGACTTAAATATAGTCACTTAAGCTTTAAAGTAGTTGAGTTCTAACTTCTATGAAAACATTGACACAAATATATAAATAGACAGATGAGTAAATAATAAATAATTTGTATAAATTTTCTGAATGTTGATTTTTTGAGTAAACTTTTCTTAGACTATTCGAAACTTTGACCAAAAAAGGGATGAATTTTTTTGCAAAAATGTTCATAGAAATGTTCCCATCTTTTGATCATCTCTAATAAATAATTATTTTTCAGGCAATGCATCTGTTTACTCATTTGTAGTAATAATATTATTGAAGGAGAATATACACATTTAAAATTTAGAAAGAGAGAATAATTTCCCTTTTAATTACTATTAATAATAATTTTGTTTATCAAGTACCCATTCCTCTGCTAACGTGTTCATGGCTCCCCATAAATAAGGAAACAGAAAAATTACAACAGATAAAAATATTTTTTTATTAAGTCTGTAATTAAAAAATTCCATTGGGTTTAATGTCTTTTTTGTTAATACCTCAATTTAATCCTAATTTTAAGACAGAAATGATAAAACAACATAAACCACCATGAAAAAACCCGCCAGGGGGAAGGATAATTTAATTACAAGACAGCTGGAGAGGAGACCGGGAAGGAGAAATCTTTTATATAACATCATGCTGTATATTTTGGAAATGTTCTCTCTAGATTAATGGAATGACAAGTTACTTGAGCCCATAGGATTATTTCCATATATTTAGATTTTATACATATTTGCATATTTCATTAAATAAAACATGTTTAAAATGTTTAATTCACTAACTTTTGCATTGCTGAACACACTGAAGTCGTATCATTTTAGATTACTTCCTAATGAGGATAATTCTCTTGTAGCATTGCGGGTATGTCCTAGCTCAGTGATTCCCAAACTTGTTCTGCTGCTTGTGCAGGGAAAGCCCCTGGCGGTCCGGGCCGGTTTGTTTACCTGCCGCGTCCGCCAGGGCCGTCTCTAGGATTTTTGCCGCCTCAAGCAAAAACAATTTTGGCCGCCCCCCATTTTTTTCTTACCCCACCCCCAGCCCCACCTCAACTCCGCCACTTCCCCAAATCCCCAGCCCTGCCTCCTCCCCCCAGGCTCTCAAGCCTAAGAGGGAGGGAGGGGGAGAAGCAGCGCGCGCGCCGTGGCCGCTCGGGGTCTCCCCCTCCCTCCCAGGTTTGAGAGCCTGGGAGGGAGGGCGAGCAGCGGCGCGCGAATCAGCTGTTTCACGCGCTGTGGTGCGCGAGCGGCAGCAGCGGAGGTGAGCTAGAGCAGCCGGGGCACATTTTTAGGGGCGGCATGGCCGGCGCCAGAATGCCACCCCTAGAAATGTGCCGCCCCAAGCACCAGCTTGTTTTGCTGGTGCCTAGAGCCAGCCCTGGCGTCCGCAGTTCGCTGCTCCAGGCCAATGGGAGCTGCTGGAAGTAGCGGCCAGTACGTCCCAAGATCCAGCACAAGGAGAGATGAAAATTTAAAGAACCTTTGTCCTGATGCATTTAAAGAAAGTGAGACACTGAATGGTGGGAATACAAAAGAAATTTTAAAGGCAGAACATGGTGTGTTTTGTAAATGTCATTTCACAACTGAAGAGGTTGGTTTTGCACCCCTTGTCACATGAGTAGTCCTAGTGATATCATGCATTGCTGAGTAGTCAACATGAGTAGTGGTAGTGAAATCACTGGGACTGCTGATGGCTGCAGAACTGGGCCTACCATCATTATGTGGCTCCATACCTATATCAAGAAAAACCTGGTAGATTAATCAATCAGTTGATAGGTTCCTGGGTGCACATAAAACTGATTTTATTAATTAGCATTAAAGTGGAAATTACCCTGTCATTTCTCATAATTGCCTTAAAAGTCTTTGAGGATTTCAATACAAATATTGTTCTAGTTATTGTAGACATTTCTGTGTCTAGCAAGGATCAGAACAGTGGCATCAACTTAGCCATATAACAGAATGTTACTGAAAACCAGAGACACTTTAATTTTGTTTTTCAGGTAACAGCAAAGCAGCATCACAGTGTCCTCTCCATCTCTACTCCACAGAGTGAGTGTGTCTGACAGCATTCAGGAGAGCTCAAGTACTGTAGATTATAAACTTTGTTTTGCTGATTAACCATTTTGCAGGGGCCCCTGCAACCTTGAAAAGCCTGAAGAACGTGATCCTTCAGCCTTTGCACCTGTTCTGCTGCAAGTCGCAGGCCAGATCTGCCCTAGGAGTCCCTTGCTGGTATAGCTATATTGGTATCCTATCCCAGCAAAATCACTCCTCGTATAGATGCTGTTATACTGGTGAAGCTTCTCATGCTTTTGCCAGTATAGCTTATTTCACCTCCTCCCCCTCCCCCGAGCCAAATAAACTATACCAACAAAAGGACAGTTTTAGCAATATGCTATATTAGGGGCTTTTGCCAGCACAGTTATGTCAGTCAGAGAATTCCTCATCACACCTCTGACCAATACATCTGTGCCTCCAAACATTTGTAGGGTAGACCTGGCCTTAGCCCCAGAAAACCATTTCTTAATCAAGTTGGACAGAAAGTCATAGAGACTTGGAGGTTCTCCATACAACTCATTTCTACCCCGGGAATGCAGATCTTATCGTTTTGAACATAGGATCATTTATAAGTGACTATAGAGGAAAATGTGACATTTCAAAGGTGTTCCATGAAACTGGATTGGTTTTGTGACTCTAAAATGAAACCTGAAAATCACAGATTGTCACTTTTTAAAATTGTTGCAAATATTTCGTGCAGCCCTAGGTTATAGCACTGACCAAAGATTAGGATGGCATTGTGCCCTCTCACTTAGTGATATCTCTGTAAGCCACTGCCAGAAGCAGGGTATTAGCGCAAAACGGTCTGACCCAGTGTGGCATATCTTATATGCCTGTAATATACAGCATAACACCACGTGTATCCATTCTAGTCAAATATGTCACTGGACGTTTTTGCAGCTAGATTAGTGAGATTACTCTAGAAAACCATATACGATTAGTATTGCCATAGAGCATCTGTTTTCTTGTTCTGAACAGACATCATCCCCATCTAGTGACAGTCCCATCTTTTCCAACAATGGCAACCTATGGACAGACCCAGTACAGTGCAGGAATCCAGCAAGCCGCTACTTACGCTGCATACCCTCCACCAGGACAACCTTATGGAATACCCTCCTACAGTGAGTAATCTTACTTTGTTAGGTTATCTCTAAGAGCTTCTGCTTTCACTAGAGAATGACCCATCCTTCTGACCCCAAAAGAGCATACTTCATGATTAAACCTTCTAGTCAAAAACTCTTTAATTCTGTAGTGAATGGGGTTTTTTTCCTTTTCTTTTTTGGCTTAGAGAAAAATTCAAATTTGTCAAAAGTTTTAGAAAGACTTTCCTCTGTACTCTCCGGATAGTCAGCTCAAGTGGATTGGCACATACTAGCCTGAGTTATAATCCTATAAACTAAGTACGGTTGGACCTGGTCAGTAGCAGAATAGGAGATATCCTGGAAAAATCCTGGTGCTGAAAAGAGTGACAGTAGGGAGTCAGTAGCTGGTGAAGTTTCCTGTGACTCAGTACTGAGCCCAGCCCCCTAGAAAGTGCTTTTCTCTTAGAGGTACCATCTTTGAAATAAGGCTCTGACCACTTGAGACCTTGGGGTAAATCCTCAGCTGGCACAAACTGGCATCGCCTCACTGGACTGCAGTGGGAGCTATGCTGCTTTACATCAGCAGAGGATCCAGACCTGTATGTCCAGTCTTGCAAGATTGCAGGGGGAGGTGGTAAAAAAACGCTACTTTTGTAAACTATGCTTTGCCTCTCTACGTTCCCTTTGCAGTTTCAGTTACATGAGCCAGTCCTCATTTCCTTCCTAAAAACTGTTGTGTATCATTGATGATACAGAATGGTTGTTACGCTGCAGATGAGTAAATTTAACAAGTGGTGGGTGAAATGAGCTCTGTACTACACAATGCTTTGTGATGAGAGATACATTTGCAAGATATTATTATTAAATATTGCATATATAGTCTAAATGTATATACAATAAATGTTTTCAGACATACAGTATAGTAAAGATAATGGAAAGCAGGTTTTTTTCCTGAGGCTGTCTTACCATTTTCAACATCTAAGAATCGGTTCCACCTCCTCTGTGTGTGCAAATTGTAGGGGAGCCAGTCTCCATTCAGTGTAAATTGATGTCATGTGAGATCTATTGGGTGGGTTTGATTATTTTCAGTCACACTGTAAACCCTCAGTAGATCTACTTGCTACTGGAATTGTGCTATTCACATGCTTATAGCATACTCAGAGTTGACTGTAAATAAGACAAAATGATAGAGGGGCCTAAACAACCAAAGTTTGAGTTAGTAATTCAGGTTAGATAAAATTAGAACCACAGCTGAACCATCACCCAAACATAACCAAACATGTTTTTGAGGTTCAAATATATTTTTCACAAAACTGGTTTTCATAGCCCCATGTGGAAATCCCTAAAATCCTACAGGGAAAGACTCTTCCTAGGAAACTTCTTACCCAGTTTTGTAGACCAAAGAGGTTCATGTTGTTTAGCTATGGCTTGGAAATGGTGGACATCCAGACTTGTGGATGCTTATCCCCAGCTGAAATCGTGAGTCCCTTTTGAGTCGTTCAGTACTACCCAAAACTGCTGTGTGGTTTTGTTTCCAATCCTACAGTCAGTTTTGACAGTCTTTGAGCTCCCATGCCCTTGTTTATTTGGTAAGTACAGTATTGCTTCCCAACATACAGCAGTAAAAACACAAACCTGTTACACAGCTATTGACAACGTTTTTAGTTAAGGAAAATTCAACCTAACAATCTGTGAAAGGCCTGGGTAACAGGGTTGGGAAAGTAAAATCTATCAGGACGATTAGAGGAATGTTTTGAGTTGATTTTCTGGAATTACAAACACAAATGTATCAGCTGGATGGCTTCCAAGGCAAACTCTGAACAGTTGTCCCTGTTAGAGCAGGTGAAAATATGGCCATTTGCTACTGGCTAGCGTCTTTAGGGCACACACATGTCAGGCCCACATACTGCTTATAAATCCTGTAGATTACCTATTACCATCCTTGAACAGTGGTTTCCCTCCCTTGCCCCCACCCTCAATAATATATATGATACTGTATATGAGAAATCCCACCTGGCTGATGACCAAGAACAATGAAGCAGTATTGTTTTTAGACACAAATATAAAACTAGGCCAGTTTCTAGACAAAACAGAGCATTGTGTGGAAATTAATTTGGTGCTAAGTTATTTCACTGTCTGACAACAATTTTTAGACTTCCAGAAAGGCCCAGTCACTGAAGATTAATTGTGGTCGGGGCTGTAATAGGTTGAGTGTTCACATGCATGGTGCTGATGTAATTGAAAAACAAATATGATGTTATGAAAAACAGCTTCTCTTTGACTCACCCGCAAACCCCCTAGCAGACAGGCTCTACCAGCAATAATGGAGCCTGACACCTACCACAGCCCGCGCTCACTCATTGTCCCAACAAATTTCCTGGATTTCAGTATGGAATGTTGTTATCCCGTTGGTAATCTGCATTTAAATTGCATGGATTTCATCTAACATTGATTGTTTCTCCTTAGAAATAAGTGACTTTGTCCCAGGACAAGCTATTCAGTAAAATTTGCTCCCACCCTCAGTGAGCGCAGACTCACTGTGCTTTCTCAGGTTGAAGGGATTGGCCAAGATAGACAGCAACAGCTTGGTTGGCTGAAGCCATATGAATCTGATGTCGCTTTGGAAGGTTTGCCCGGAAGTGCACAAAAATGGCAGCAACGTGGGCAGCTCATAAATCCAAGAGCAGACCATCAATAGTCTCTTTGTTTAACCATGGCACTCAGGGTGTGTTTCGAGACCATATTTTGTTTTGTGCAAATACACATGCAAAGAGGCAGAGGCCAAAAGATTTGTAAAAAAGACACACCTTTCAGCCGTTTACTTTAAAAATACAGCAGCATGATCTCAGCAGGCCCGGGTGATAAAATATCAGACCCTTTCACCACCTGAAAAGGTTCCATCTTACAATGTTAAAGTGCCGCTCCTCCTGTGATTTGACATGCGTTTTAATTGCCTGATTTTAGTACCAAGGAGACTTTGACTAGGGATTTGTGCATTGCGCAGCTTTACTAGTGTCAACTATATGTGACTATCTAGTGTTCACACCTAACTGATATCCCTCCAGTATGATCTGTTGACAAATATTGCGTTATCTCATTCTAAATGGAGCTGATGAAATAATTTAATTTTAAACAAATCTTTCAATCATGAATGTTTACGTGAATAGAAGTTTAACTGAGTTTATTTTACTATAATTCATATGACCACGTTGTTAGCAATTACCAGCATTCTGAGAACCCCTCAGAATGTTCACAACTGCGAAAGTTTAACGAAGTTTGAAGCACGTGTTTAGTTGTCCAAAAAAACTTTCTGAAAACCTTTGGCACGCGGCTCACCAGGGTAAGCACCCTGGCGGGCCGGGCCGGGCCGGTTTGTTTACCTGCTGCGTTGGCAGGTTCGGGCGATCACGGCTCCCACTGGCCGCGGTTCGCCGCTCCAGGCCAATGGGGGCTGCGGGAAGTGGCGCGGGACTCGGGATGTGCTGGCCACCACTTCCTGCTGCCCCCATTGGCCTGGAGTGGCAGACCGCGGCCAGTGGGAGCCACAATTGGCTGAACCTGCCAACGCGGCAGGTAAACAAAGCGGCCCGGCCCACCAGGGTGCTTACCCTGGTGAGCCGCGTGCCAAAGGTTGCCGATCCCTGATATAGGCCATACATTATTTCAGAAAAATATTTGGCTAACACTAGCGAATAATGAAAATGTTTTCAAAAATTGGGATTTGTTTGCTAATACAAAAGGTTAAATCCAAACTGAATATTAAAAATCAATAGTTTTGATCAGCTCCAACTCTAGCTAAAATGTCATAAGCATTGACATTTTTTGTTATACCTGTATATGATGAGATCAAGCAGAACCCTAACATTGTGCGTTTGGTTCCTTTTATATCCTCCAAAGGCATCAAAACAGAAGATAGTCTGAGCCATTCTCCAGGACAGAGTGGGTTTCTTAGCTATGGATCCACCTTCAGTACCCCAACAACAGGACAAGCACCGTACACCTACCAGATGCATGGTCAGTATGGCTAGCTTTCTTGCAGTTTATAGTCGTCTAAGGTCTGCAGCTTCAAGCACCGGGCAGTAAAATCAGGTTCCATCTGTTGGAAGTATGAAGAAAAACAGGAGAGTACCAAATCGCTGTTGTTTTGATCTGTAATATGCTGAGTGTGGAAGAACCATTTTCAATATTGACAACCCCAAGTGCTCACAGATGATGAATCAGGCTCCAAAACTCAAATAATCAGATTGGCTTAAAAGGCTTGAGATTTTTACACAGCTTTGAGTCACATTTTCAAGCTTTTCTCGACAATCATGAGGGGAGGGCCAGAAATTTACTCCGCTCCCACACACCCTGTAAAACCTGAGTTTCAACCTAATTACTTTGACTCCAGGAACAGGGCTTTAAGAAAAACACCAGATATCATGAGACTCGCAAGAGTTGGTAACACTGCTTTTTATTTGTTGGTTTCGATGTGGAGTCCTAAGACTCATAAAGTACATTAAAATATTGGAATTTCATTTGTGATTTTTTTGTTAGCCCATTTGTTTGATGCCGTGGAATTTGATTTTTGCTGAACATCTTGGTGCTGTCAGTCAGATACCTGAACTGGGAGTGATGCACTTCCAGTATCTTTCTTGATACTTTATATATTCTGTCTGCTTTATGCTGTGGCATTTGCAGCCCCTGACCTTAGTGAATAGTATTCATTTTCTAATACTTGCTTGTGTCATTCACCAAGAGGATGGGGGATGTGTCCTCATTTTCAAAATCCTTACAGGAAGAAAAAAAAAACGGGGGGAGGGCAATCTGCACTACAGTTTGGGTTATGCAGTAGCTCTAATAATCTGGATCTAAACGTGCTTGCCTAGAAAATATTGCTGGAAGTGATGATTAGAGCTAATGTACTCGCAGCTGGAGAGAGGAAATATGCCACAATAATTTCAGTTTTATGTACCAGTGTGCTGTTGCTTTTTATAGTGAGGGGCATAGTGTGTAGGAACTGATTTTGTGTTGCTGATATAAAGTGGGTCACGTCATTCCTATACATGAAGTAATCTAAAATATCCAAGGGGAGAGTAGTTTCATTTTCACTGAGAGTAGTGACACACCACTTTGAGTCCAATATGAAGGTTGCACTGAATTGGACAGGATGAAAAAAATGTATTTTCTCCTCTTTCTCCTCACCTGGAATTTTGTCCTTCACTAGACTTCCGTGCACCTACATTTTAAAGTGCCAGTGACTTCTCTGTGATGTGAAGAATTGTGACTAAATGAAACTAATGAACATTAAGGGACTGAGGACTTGAGGACTTGTGATCTATATACAAAATATTTCTACTGTTTCTTAGACTGTGCAAGCCTCAAAAAGCCAAGGGTGCAGGCTTTGTGGTTATAGAAGGGAAAGGACAAGCAGTTAGAGAGTCAGATCAAACACTCCAGGATTCAACGGGGAGAGGGAAAGCAAAATACAAATTATGATAATGCTTTGCACTTATCTTGCCCCTTTATCTGAGAGTCTCAACACATTTTAGAAACTTAAACCACAGAAAAGTTAAGTGACTGCCCCAAGGTCACATAATCAGTTAGTGGTGGAGAGGAAAGAGAACCCACATCTTCTGTCTTCCAGTCCTTTCTTTTGCTCTCTAGACTATGGCCCTGTTGTCACCACAGTGCCCTTTTCTGTTTACATCTAAACTATCCACGGACGCTCTGCAAAGAAAGAGGAAGGGAATTGTTTTCCTGCCCAACCGGGAAGGGGTGGACAGACACACTGAGTATAACTTGTCCTCTGGTCTGCTTTATTTTTGGTTTTAAATTTAAAAAAATCAAGCCCTAAATAGACACATAACCATAAACTGAATTTTTTAAAATTTAGATACAGCAATTATCTATGGAAGTTGAGACGGGAGAGGTGATCCTGGGCTGAGATGTCATATGCTAAGATTATCAGAGCCAGTTTTCATTGTAGGGTGCTACTACACCCCTTAGAGTAGGTGGGCCAGCAGAAACGGATGAATCCTTAACCACAATATCACTGGTAGGACATACAGGGGCGCTGGAGGAATTGGCCGTAAACATCAGCCTTATCTAGTATTTGACCCAGAGCCCACTGAATCAACGGAAAGACTCCCATTGACTTAAGTGAACTCTGGATCAGGTTCATACTGAGGCATTTGGAGGAATCCAGAATGAATTTATCAACTGCTAATCACATCCCTGGAAGCTATATATTTATTCTGTCTGAAATGTAAAGGATTCTTCCTGACCATCCCTGTCAGTGAATTAATGGTTGCTTCCACTTTCTCCTTTCTGCATCTCAGTCTTATAATAACTCTGAACAATAAGCATGCTGTTCTGCAGTAAGGACCCTTCTTTCTATGTATTGTTGGAAAAGCATCCATTTGTTCTTACCACCAGCTCTAGATATGGGAATGTCATGGACTGAGTGCAGCTTCATCTGTGTCAGGAAATGCTGGGTCTGATGTCCCCTTGCAGCAGTAGCAGCTGTACTGTGTCCCAATTAACTTCAGTGAGATTTAGTGCTAATGGCTGTAAAACTACTATTGACAAAGTACAGGCATTTTCCAATGGTGTCTTGTAAGGCTGGTAATATTCCTGCCCACTTTTTGTTTCCTTGGACCTTTTAGAGGGTCTGCACATGTGCTTTGTATTAGCTACAAAAATCTGACTTGTTTTGGAAGGTACTCATTACTCACTTGGGACCAAAATTTTCAAAGATGGCCTCTCTTTGTGCAATCTGGAGATTTGTATGAGCAAATCTTGTGCACTATCACTTGTGAATGCAAATACTGGATGCTACTTGTCCAAAACTACTGACACGGGAAAACAGTGTAAATTATACTTAAAATGAACTGGAAAGAACTTCATGCTTGTCTGCACACATAGAAGTCTTTCAAGTGTCCACTGTGTCTACAGTTATATCAGATCATTTCACAATGCTTTATTGCTGTCCCCAGTTGGACAATTTCAGGCAGCCTCTCAAAGCCGGTATTGTAAAAAGAATTTTTATAGTGGCAGGTGCTGATCCCCAGGAAAACTGTCCAGGAATAAACAAGCTGTTTCCTGTAGTAAACAAACATTTCCCCCTGTCCTAGCTGCTCAGGAGCACAAGGGCTTTAACCAGCTCCCTGTCTCTAAAGTTTATTTACCTTGCCTGAGTGCTGGTGAAAGGTTTGGCTGGGATGCTCTGAGCCTTCCTGCCCCAATTGCTACTGAGGAATGTACACTCCAAGCTTTCCCACGCTAGTGCACCTGGGAGGGAGGGGGTGAGGGCAGATCGTTTTCTCTCCCTGACATTAACAAGTGACTTTCCATGCTCACTCTGTCTCTAGGATCTTATTGGACCTCTGCCCAGCTCAGATCAGTCCTGCTGGTCACCCTGCTGTTGAGCCCACAAAGTGAGTCATGGTGATGGGCTAAAACAGCTGAAAGCACAATTTATTTATTTACTTTTTATAAAGCCAAAGCTCAGGAGGGCTTTAAAAGTCAAACTCTTAACTTTGCATCCAGGACAAAGCATTTTACATCATTTTAAAAGAGAAAGGGGGTCTTCAAAGACCGTGACATATGCACAACCATGATCAGAAAGGTTCTTACAGCACCCCATGTTGGAGAGTTTTGCATTTTAGTTTGTGAGAAAAATAGTTCTCCTGGGTAAAGATGAAAAATTACTGAAAAATATAATAGTACAAATTTGTAAATGAATTAGCTTCACCTGTGATTGCCCGCATTTAGTGCTGACTTCCCGTTAATATTTTAGTGAATGAGTTTATGAGCAGGCGTGTTTGGTGAAACCACGAATTCTAAACAAATCCTGCAGAATATTCAAATTCACACCATAACCCTGGTTCTAAGAATTACACACATCCAACCAGGGAATAGGAGCATACCATGGATGTACTGTGCCAATCAAGATTGCAAAAAAATGCCATCATGAGCTCCACATGCATTGTCTTACCATGACTCTAGATCACATTTTCTCAGGTCCCAAGTTAAAATTGAGGTTTTTTCCCCCAAATGTCAGCACAGCCTTAGCCTGGGATAATGAGAACAGGAAAATAACCCTAATGTGGTGCCAGTATCCATATGCTAAATATCTGATACACTGTCACACATATATGTAAAACATAAGGGATAGGACTAAGCAGTTTCACATCTTGCAAACATATGGCATAAAACAAAATATAGAACAAAGCTATTTTAAACTGAAATCTCTTTTAATGTAATTGCAGTGTAATACAATGGATCTTAGTATGTGATCAGTCTTTGAATTATATGGCTACACCCTGAAACCTTATGTTTGTTCTAAAATAGTGAATGTGTGTAACTGGCATATAAATTTACATACAACCAATATCTTTGTGAAAATAAAATGTTTTTCACTATAAAGGAAATTCAGGAATACACAGATAGCAAAATGGGAGAGACCAGGCTAGATATGTGACTGATTTGGGGGTACCAGTCGCTCCCAGGGCAATTTCAAATGAAAAGAGGTGGGAGCGCCTTCCTTTAGACTTTTTACTTTCAAGGTAATGTGCCCTAGTGCTCACTAATTGAAATCCCTAATTAAGGTTTTTGGGTATGAAGAAAACATTGCCTCAGGCCTATACCATTCCCTCAGTGGACCTGCATCTAGGCACACACCTTCAGTACTGACTCCCAGAAAGATTAGAGAGACAAGGCTGGGTGGGATAATCTCTTTTATTGGAACAACTTCTGTTGGTGAGGGAGACAAGCTTTCCAGCTTTTCCCAGAAAGATGACATCCTAGACTAGGTAATAGAAGAGAGATATTGTACCCTTTTAACAAACTGCTTCTAGGGCCAAATCTTCAGCCCCTTTAGAAGAACAACGATGTGCTAATTTGCTCATGAAATTATTATTTGTTTAGCACAGATAACATGATACAAGACACACAGATTAAATTCAGTCCATGCCCTAAACAATCTAAAAGGCCAATTACCGAAACTGAGTGCAGACATCAGATGAGCAAAT